ACATTGAAGTTGCCTTGATGACTCCGTTTTGTGTCCAACAGAATTGTATATCTAAGTCAGCCGAGCCTGGGTCTGTAACTCTTGTCAATCAACTTCAAAGGAGGAGATGTGTCGAGATCTTTTTGTTGTGACCTTCGAATTGAGTTGTCTTGGTGTCAGAAAATTGCTTGAATGTCAAAAGTATCCATTTGTTGTCTGAACAATGCAATTGTTTGGGTGTAGACCCTTGGGGTTGGTTTGGGTGTTGGTCTCTGATCTTTTTTACAGTGTCCTTGTGAAATGTTTGTTATTCTCGATGTTGTTGGTTGAACTGTCATCCGATTGTACAACATAATATCACAATCAGCTAATGGTTGCAATATAAATATTAATTATCATATATATTATCATATATATAATATTTTGCTGAAATGTCAGTTTTGAAATAAGATTTATTTATTAAATCATTTTTATTTATTTTTTTATTAATTTATTCATATACACCACATAGACAATACACAGAAGAAAAATAATATATATATAACAAAACAGGTACATAGGTACTGCATATCCCTTATGGGATTTCTTCCTGCAGCCCTGCGAGAGGAGAAATAAATACATCATATGACACAGTATGTAACAACAAAAAACAAAACAAACAAACAAGAAGAAGACAGTGAAAACTTAAACTAATAATTAAAACTACTTACAGACTAACAAAAATAATACAATAAAAACATACAAAATAAATATAAATAAGTACTTATACATATACATCCAACAAAATATAGAAATATAATAGATACATATTATTATACATACTATATGTAAATAATATATAATACTATATAATAATATACATACAATATAACACAATCTGTACTTAAGAGGAAAGGTGATAATGTTCCCTCACACAATTCTTAAAGATAGATATAGACTTAGAGTCACGTATGTTAGGCGGGAGGATCATATTATGTTGGTGTACTTATTATAAATAATTATATTAAATAGTATATTATATTTATTTATATTGTATTATTATTAAAATGAGTCTCAAAAATATGTATTCACACGAAATTCTGATGAGGTGGTATAGGATCAGTCGTTTTATATTTTAGCTGGATTGTTATTGTTGTATTAAAGTTACACAAATTTAAAAGTAAGGGAATGGTAAAGCTGGTGTCGTCTGCAAGGAATATATCAATAGTGTCTATCACTAAAGTCAACTTTACAGTAAATAAAAAACATATTTTTATGCTTGAGATAATAGGTTACCAGAAAGGTGAAAATTGATAAAAATAGTAAATAAATGCTGGAATAAGATAGGTAATCTTAGATGGTTTTCATATTCTTATATACCAAGATATGGGTTAGATAGTATTGATTCAAATTTAATCCAAACGATTTAAATTATTTACTAGATAGGTGTTATTGGATGAAAACAACATAGTTAACCCGGCGAGGATGTGGTGAAAATAGTAACGTGGAGGTTGTGGAGGGTCTTATTGACCCTGTATACAATTGGCTTTAAAATACCGAAATTTATATAAATGTACCAAATATCAATAAATATTATTTATATTACATGTTATTTTTACGGTTTTATCAAGATAAAACGCAGATAAGAGTACAAAATAATATAATTAAATCACTTTTAACAAAGTACTACAAAATAATCAATTATTACATAAACTTTCTAAACTTACACTAAAAGCAACAAAAAATAACTAACTACTTAGACAATTAACTTTTAAGAGGTCAATTAGTTGCACTTACAGTCTTATCATCAAATTATGAATTACAAATCATTATTGTCTGTGATTGCAGCACAACCCTGGGCGAATGAAATAGTGTGTTCTGGACAAATATACTTTGGCAATCTTCACAAACATTATCTGTCTTACGATGGCGGGCATAAAGACATACTTGGCACCTTTTTCCTACACCTAGGACCCTAACAGGAGCTTCTAGTTCAAGTTCTCCGATAAATTCTCTGGTTCTCTTGCGTAGCTGTCTCGGTAATTGAGGTGTTTCTTTGCGATTCCTCTCCTTCTGACATATGTGGGTTCTGATGCTGCAATTCAGATAGTGGTACGTTATCCTCGCCATCACTACTTGCATTTTGCTCAGTATCACTATTTTGACTGCGCGTACTCAAATGGTCTTCCTTTTCGCCACCGTCGGATAACAAGTCATCTTCACTGTCAGACTGGATTAAGACAAGACGTTTGCGTTCATCCTCAAGCTCCTGGCTATTCATTGTGGGTCATATTTACCCTATTTGACTGCAAGCTCGTGTTGCTCCCGTCGCAGGCGGTGGCCAACTAAACAGGGGTGCGGGGCGCGCGCCCCGGTTCCTTAGCAATAGCTATTGTGACGTTCAAAACTCTTCGATCGCAAAATAAAAACTACACACGATTAAAAATTGACAGGGTCAGAATGACCCCTCCACATCCTCGAAGGGTTAAAAATCAAATAGGTTAATCATCAAAATACAGAATATCGACTGTGAACTGGCAACAGTTAGGGGAGGTAGGGGAGCATTGGGCACTTTTTTACATAAATGTTAATTAAACTTTATTTTTATCATAATCAAAATTTTATCCCTAATATATTGAGCACATATATTTGGCAGTAATTACTATTAAGAAAAATTACAAGAGATCTTCGAACACATGTCCAAAGTGCCCAAACCTCCCGACTTTGGGCACTGTATTTAATATGCACGAACTTCCTTTCTGTAATGCATTTTGAAGCTTTGAATTACCCCTTGGTCTAGTGGTTGAAGTTTCGAAGTAGTGTTTGCTGGCAAGAATTTTATTTTTATGTTTGATAGATTAGGAATGTCTACATGTGCAGTACAATTATCGACGAACATATCGTCTTTTTTTTCTTCATTTCTTTATCAAGACTTCTAAGCCAATTGTTAATAGCATCACAGGTCATCCAGGCCTTAGTGTTTGACGTATAATCTGCTCTCAAATTATTGACATTTTTAAAACATCGTGGTATTTTGTATTTTCCTATGATGAGTGGTGTAAGTTTGTATGTCCCCGTACAGTATGTCCCTAGAAAGACTGTTAAACGAAGTTTGCTATTTTTCCCGCCATGACACTTATCGCCTTTGAATGCTAAGGTTTTGTCAGGTAAACATTTTAGAATAGTCCTGTTTCTACAAGTCCCCTTACTAATGCCACCCGGAATTCAAAAAGAGATAGATTTATGCCGTTTTTAGTACTAGAATCAATGCATTAGTAATGCTGGCGTCAATCAAAATGTAAAAATTCCGGAACCACCATTTTACTCCCTCGCCCTACAGTGTACGTACTCTTCAGTTGATCGAATCGATCTACTTCTCCCATTCTCCGTGTATATTCTTTAGTAACGAGAGGGCACTTTACATGAACTTGCGAACCATCTTATCACTGTGGAATCACATTAAAAGGAATTCTTTGTTATCTTGCCATACCACAAAACTGACATTCTGTTTCACTCGCCACTTGAACTTTTTTTAATTTTCTTCAGCTTAAATTTTTTACCCCTTGGACCTTTGATCATGAACGGCATGTCGGCTCGGGGCCTGCGCACCGTACCACTGGCGTTGATGCCATTTTTATGTAAATATTTAGTATTATCTAGTATTTTATAATCGCAAATATTCTAGTATTTTATAATCACAAAAAAAGTTGTCAAATGTACCTACGTTTGTTTTTTGCTTTGGCTTTCAGTTTTTTGGTCAATTTCTTCACCAGTTTAGCTCCTAGTCCTTCTATAGAGTGTCCAGTTTTTTCTGTATACATTTGAAATTCATACTAAAAAAAATTTCATCTTAAAAAGAATAACAGCTTAAATTTTAGTCAATGTCGCTGATATCATCATCACTAACTGGTCTTGTCTCTCTCTTGTCTTTGGGGCCATATGTGGCAAGTTTTCATAGGAGGAATGATATTTTCTTGGGATTGCTAAAGACTTACACATGGAGTTCAGATCTTTATACTGATCGTACGGAATGGCACATTTATCGAAATATGCTTGACTGAGTTCAAAATGCCTTGTGCGCTGGTTATTTCTATTCCCTGTCCTTAGAACAACTAAAGTATTAGAATCCTCACCCAGATCATACTTATATTCTATGTGATCATAGACATTTGTAATAACTTTAAGTTCACGAATTTGTTTCCATCTCATCACCTGATTAGTTACATCCTTTGTCCAGTTTTTGTTATCTAACAGTCCTTTAAAATTGAAAAAAATCCTTGTCTCAACTCAAATGTCTCAAATCTCTTTCACCACATACGGTTCTCCTTCAGTTTTTGACCAACACACTAAAACATTCCATTCATCTGGTATATAAATATTTTTATGTTCGCTTGCTCGCTCGATCATTGCGTGGACACTATCACCCTCATTTTGGGTGTGACCTTTCTCCGTAAATCTGTGAATGATGGTAACGCGAAATTCTTTTGCAGCAAGAAGATACAAAGCAAACACGATGCGATTTCGAGTCTGCCCTGCGCAGTTGTCCGACCAAAATCTAAACTCCTCAACCCCTTTTTCAGCATTTTCTTTTATAAAAGCGTACAAGCAGCTGGAAACTTCATTCGCACCCTTTTTTTGCAATAACTTCATGCCACATATAGCAAGTTGCAGCTTTTTTATTGACATCGTAAATGGTGAAATTGAAAGCATTTAATTTCCTCTTATAATAGAAAGTGCTTACCTCTCCGTGTGGTGTTTGAAGAACCTTTTGGAAATCAAACGTTGCAACAACAAGCTTTTTATTCCTACTCCCATCAGCTTTGTCAGAATTTTTCAGAGCACGAGCTTTTTTTTGTGCTTTTTATGTTCCATGAATCGTTGTTTTTCTTCTTCATTCGGGAACTCATTATTGTCAAACACATGGCAATTATTTTTTTTTTATTTATTTAATATCACGGTACTGGCGTTTATTTGCTTTGTTTGTATATTTACCTGGATACCATCCACACCATTCCTCATATAAACGAAACATTTGCGCAGTACTAGTTATACTTTAAATATAACTTTTTGGAGTCTTTTCGCGTGTATTGTGATTCAACCCGATCGATCGAGTTCACGTGGTCTTTCACGCTCTGCACCATCATGTCATCGATGACTCTAGGCTTGTGTTCATAATTGCCCCGTTTGTCTTCAGCTATAGAGATTTCTTCGTCATATTTTTTCCAGGCCGTAGTTACGATTCGTTCACCAGACGATATTGTGCTTAAAAACATCTTTCTACAAACCCTTTTAGATTCTTTCTGTGAGTTTGGTAGGTAGTAGACGAAAGTGTTTTCCCGCTTGTGTTTGGTTTCTTCTGTAGTTTTACGTCCTTTAGGAAGTTTTTTGGTGTATTTGATCACAAACTCCCAATGCCTTTTTCGATCGTCTAGTCCCCAGAACTTTGTAAAAATCTTCTTTCTTTGGTTTGGATCTTTATTTTCTGTACACTTGTAGCGGCAAGTTTGTCCACAAGTTTCACCTTATGACTTTTCTGCTATTTGTTTTCCTTTATAGTTTTCATAAGCTTTTCCTTCATTCTTCAATTTTTCCTTTGTACCACAATCCAATTATTTTTGTGCTTTAGTCTTTTCTTACCAATATCAGTTTTATTTTCTAGAAACTGTGTGTAGAGGGAGTTACAATAGTAGAAGCGTCAGTCATTGTTGAAGGTGTTGGGAGATTATCATAGACGTCATCAATACTCATCATATAGTCGTTTACACATATGGGGCAAAAGCGAGATTCACAGTTTTCGCAATAAGGACGAACTGGGGATGGGACTGGAGTTACATCAATGGGCCTAGTAGCTGGTACCATTTCATGTTCAACAGCAGCGATTGATGCAATAACGGTCGTCTCGAGAAAATTAGCCTTTTCAGAGATTGGTGGTGCAAAACCAATCGTGTCCGTCGTTTCGATATTTTCAGGGGTTTTCGATGACAGTCGCCTCGACCTCATGAGTAGTGATAGAATGTTCACCAAAAGGAGTTGGAGACGATTGCTGGTCACTAACAACATCACCTATCAAATCTTGTAGCTGAATTAGTTAATTTTCAAAACTGCCTGGTATTGGAGAAGAAACTCGATCTGAAAATAAATTAAATTTATTTGAATAGCTTATACGGCCAATCAAAATGCCTATTTCTAAAATATTGAAACGAAATCTTTGCTTTGCCGACATACATACATCCGTCAAAAAACAAACCCTGTAGCCATTTGAAAAAGTCGGTAGTGTCACATGGAACCAACCATCTAATATTAGTTCCATTTAATAATGTCTTAAGTGTTACAACCGATAATTCAACAGATTTAGTAAACATTTAAAAGTGTCGAACGTGACACTACCAACAAACGGCCTACTTAATTTCCCTTTAGCCACTTGAACGTCCACGCCGCGAACTGTCAATGCACAGAAACGTCACGATGCGAGTGTCAAATTTTGCGCTATAAATTACGCAGTAACTCTTCCGATAAAAACGTTTGTCAAAAGAAAACTATACATGTTACTAGGGGTGATCCAAAAGTAATGATAATCAATAATAAACACAATGAATAAAATCAAAAAATAAATTTATTTCTCAACATAGTCTCCTAGCAAGTTTATACATTTAGTCCATCTCTTTTCTAAACCTAAAATTCCCTTAGAAAAAAAAACTTTATCTTGACTCTCAAAAAAGTCCTCAACCGCGGCCATCACGTCGCTATCATCGTCAAATTTCTTGCCCCGGAGGTTTTCCTTGAGTCGTGGAAAGAGATAGAAGTCACTGGGGGCTAGATCTGGTGAATAGGGGGGGGGTGTTCTACCAGTTCAAAGCCCGCTTCCTGAATGGCAGCCATGGCAATTGCAGCTTTGTGAACCGGTGCGTTGTCTTGATGGAACAGCACTCCAGCCCGCAGTTTACCTCGCCTTTTCTCCTTAATAGCCTCCCGCAATCTTCTTACTTGTTCTGCATAGTAGGAGCCTGTAATAGTGGTCCCCTTTTTCAAGTAGTCCACCATGATTATTCCTTCAGCGTCCCAAATAACAGACGCCATAACCTTCCCTGCTGAGCTCGACACTTTGAATTTCTTCGGCGTCGGTTCATCGGATCGTTTCCATGTCATCGATTGTTGTTTTGTTTCAGGATCAAAATGGTGGATCCAGATTTCGTCCATGGTCACAAAACGTGACAAAAAAATATCCTTGTCTGCCTGGAACTTTTCGAGATTTGCTCTTGACATGTCGACTCGTTTCTTCTTTTGTTCGTCGTTTAACATTTTCGGTACCCAACGCGCGGAGACCTTTCTCATATGCAATTCGTTTACAAGGATTCTTTGAATGCTGCCATATGAGATCCCTGTGACCTCAGTTATATGCCTGATAGTCACTCTTCGATCTTCCAATACAACTTCTTCAACTTTTTTCACATTTTCTCCAGTGAGGGACGTCGATGGGCGACCTTCGCGGTGTTCGTCTTCCGTCGATGTTCTTCCCAGCTTAAACTCCTTAGCCCAACGTGCTACTGTGGAATATGGAGGAGAAGAGTCCCCTAATGTTTCCACCAAGTCGCTGTGTATGTCTTTGGTAGACATTTTTTTCAAGCAGAGGTATTTAATGACTGCTCTGATTTCGTGTTTTTCCATTTTGACGTTCACTCCTTGACAGTCCGTATTCAAATGAATGTAGCTCCCGGGAATCGTGACTTAATTATATGATTTTTTTTTCCTGAAATAGTGGGTAACTGAGCAAGTGACTGTAATATTTTTATATTTTTGTGTGCACTAGAAATAACTGATTATCATTACTTTTGGATCACCCCTCGTATATTCAAATTAAAAATACCGTAGCATAGCCTAATGTATACACAATATGATTATTTAAAAGTAAATGCTCTAAACCCAGATTAAATTACTTAAAATAAATAGAGAATCTTAAACAGTACACATTTTTCTCTCATATTCCGAAATTATTGTTTATTTATAATAATTCCAGGCAATTTGTAACAGTTAGAAATTCGATGAAAGAAACTAGATTATATTTCCATGAAAACGATATCAAAATATTTGTATTTGATGCATCACAACTATTTTTAATAAATGAAAGAAAAGAGTTCTGGTTATCGCAATTTTCGGAGCAAGCGCGAGACTTTGAATGAGCAAAATGGCCGCCCGGGGCTGTGCAGACGAGATGCTTTTTTGATTACCTACCTCGTTTGTCACTTATTTTATTTTGCAGTTTTACTTTTCTATATTAGTGAATTAAATTAACACTTTAATTAATGTTCTTTAAAAATATGTTTAATAAATATTTTTTATTTTTTAACCGACTTCAAAAAAAGGAGGAGGTTTTATGTTCGACTGTATGTATCTTTTTTTTCTATGTATGTTCACCGATTTCTCTGCCAATTGTGGACCAATTTTCAAAATTCTTTTTTTATTAGAATAAAAATATATATAATATAAAAATATTTTCTTAAGTTATTGGGATATATGTGCCTGGGTGTTATCATGTCATGCTGCTGAAGTGATGATGGAACCCACAGCACTCCTTAATGGTTGGGAGTATGAGGATAATAATGAGATGTGTCGATTTGAACTACTTGGTTGTTTGATGAATAGAAATTAATTAAGAGTATAGTTCCCCTATCCTGGATTTTATACAAGATATCGTGATTTTATTTGATTATCGATGGAAGAAGCTGCCGCTGCCCAAGCTCTTACTAGTGGTCAGATGACCAAGACATGGGTGGCTTATTTAAATATCTTTTCAATAACACTGCCACTTAAAATGAAAAAATAAAAAACAACAAAAAGTAAAACCTCCTTCAAAAAACGTAAAATAACCTCATATGGAAAAAGTTTCGGAAGTCGGTAACAACAAAAAATATATGAAATCGGAACCTATTAGCCTAACCTTAATTTTAAGTTATATCATATATCAGTGGAATAAGGGTACAGATCGGTAAATTAAAAGCAATAATAATTAATAGTATATTTTTTAATCTTTAGTTTGTGGTACAAAACTTTGTTAAATAATATTAAATAATATAAAAAATCAAGGCTTGTGTCTAAAGCAGCCGATTATGCACAGGTAGACCCCACACTCGATGCATTGCCAGACTGTTCTGGTCAGGAACTTTTTTTTATTGGAACACCACCCGCAGCGGCCTCTGTTGGCAGTTGTTCGCATAGGGAAGTGGTTCCCATCGACGATCGGTCGGTTCATCAGTGTAAATTTTGTATTTCGTCTTATTGTTGTCGTCGTCGTCGTTGTTGTTATCGTCGTCGTTGTTGTGGTTGTCGTCGTCATTGTCGTCATCATCATGTTTGTTGTTTGTCTGCCACATGGTCTTGTGATGAGTCTGAATTCCGTCGTCAAGTCGATATGTCTGTACGTCTTCAGTAATCCTTCGGCCAGTATTGTTCTGAACTGCCGGTGTGAAATTTTTGGGTGTTTGGTGTGATATATAACGTAACAATTAAAAACTGCAACGTTAAAAAAACGGCGGAATAATTTTTTATACCACACACGATTTCTCACTCTTTCTATGTGTTGAGCGGATAAATATTGATCCTTTCGATCAACGCCTCCCATATTTTTGTTATAGTCCAGAACAATACTGGGCTTGTATGTCATTCGGTTGTACTTATTGCTTGTTCCGATTTGAAGTGAATGATATGTGGAGATCATACTTACTAAATTTGAGTCTCGCCACACCTACAGCGACAAATCGGGACAGTAAGTAGCCACCAACTCTCCGTGTCGTAAGTCAGTCTTGGAAATGGTCCGTAGTGAAGCGGGAATAAATTCACGGTTTAGTCTTTGCGTCTCGTAACTGTCATTCTGTCGTAGTTTTAAGCATCGCGCTAATAATGGACAATTATAAAAATTGTCCATTATAAGGGTGTGACCTTTATGTAAAAGTGGCTGTACTAAATCAAAAACTATTTTTGCTGTTGCATTCGTAGGTTGAAAGTCAGACAAAGTTTGTTCCGTCCTGTTGTCTTGTTCAGTCTGTTCAATGTTATTGTCATCATCGTTGTCGTTATTGTCATTATTGATTGTCGTCTTGGATTTGCCAGCATATACCATAAACTTCCAAAGATATCCCGTCGATGATTCGCATAATTCGTAACTTTTGACTCCAACTTGAGCCGCTTTGGTATTGATCTTCTGAGCAAAGCTCAATCGGCCGTGCCACTTCAAAAGTGACTCGTCAATGACTATTTCTTGCTGCGGGTAATATAGGCTGGCAAATTTGCGATTAAAATAGTCGAGTATGGGCTGTATTTTGAAAAGTCTTGTCTTTGTCGGTAAGTCAGTATTATTGTCAACAAAGTGCAACATGGATTTGAGAGACGGTATCTATTGTAGGTCATTATTTGATTAAAATAGGGCATGGTACCAAAGCCATTAAAAGAAAAGTACGACTCTTCACTATGTAAAGGATATAATCCCTGCAGAAGCATCAGAGCTAGGAAACTAATCATTTCTTGTCGGTCAGTTGGTGTCCAGCGTCGTTTTGTCCTTTATGGAGTCCAATTTCTGTCTAGGGTATCTGTTTGTTTCATCACAGAGTGAGTCTATAAACTCTAGGTCGAACATCTTTTCGAATATGTCTATTGGTGTTGTGTCAGTTACGTCAAACATAGGTCCCGGAATACCAGTAAAAGTCTCCCGTTTGGCTTTAAAAGTAGATTTGTCCTTAGTCCAGTCAAATGTAAAACAGTCATTAGGTAAAAGGTCTTGTATTGCCCTATCATTTGCCCTGTCTTCTGCTTGTAAAATTTGGAGCTGGTGGGGAGTTAAGTCGTCGTCAGTCGTTGTTTCCATCTGTCGTGTAGTCGCTGTATTCGTCGTCAGGCTCGTTGTCATTGTCTAAATCACTGTCAGAATCTAACCAGTCACAAACTGTGTCTTGAAACGTGTTATCATTAAAACCTGAAAAATTTACATAAATATAAGTCAAAATAATAATAAGCAACTATAATAAAAATACGGACTCCTAAATAATTGTTTTTGCTTACCAATCACTGAC